AAAGTTGTTCGACGATGTGAAAACAAATATTAAAATGTGTAAGTTTGGTCAGCCCCTCGTTTATGGACCACCCTGTATATTTAAGAATATTTATTAAACTATTGGGACATGTTGGTATCGTTGGATAGGTAAATTTATAAAAAAATAGGCGAAAATAATATACAGTGTGTTGCATTTGACAAAACTGAGTAAATTGAACTTAAAATTATCCATATTTAAGACATGTATAAAATAAATTAGTTCTATCACCTAGGAAATAGAATAGTCTACAGAGATCGACCAGAAGTCGCTTTTTTGTGACAAATGGCGTGATAAATATTTATTAATTTTAAGTTTTATGAAATGTAGGGTGTTCAAAAAGTTTTGAATAAAATTGTTTCTTTAGCCCTTCATTCTACGTCAATGGGTTATGATAATTTATCGAAATAGTGTGTTAACTAATAATAACGATTACCTACTATATACATATTTTTAAGTTAAAGTCTTTACTGTATGTAGAAAATATGTATTTATTAAATTCACTTTATCACCCTGTAGAATGAAAACTGGGACGTTTTTAGGAAAATTATATTTAGCTTTTCTTTATAATTGATTAACATCTACAAATCCCCAAAATTATGGTACTTTATTCTGAAATCCCGTATAAATATATAAAAAATTTAAAAAAAACTCACTTTTTACTTTCCTATCTGTATACAGATATAAGGAAAGTATAGGAATCATGATTTTTTTCGACCTCGAGTTTTCGACGGATTTTTACGTTTTGAGGTCCCCTGAATCCGTTTTGACTATTTTCGCGATGATGTCTGTGTGTGTGTGTGTGTGTGTGTGTGTGTGTGTGTGTGTGTGTGTGTGTGTGTCTGTATAACGCATAACTCATGAACCGATACACAGAAAAACACCAAATTTTAAACTTAAGCTTTGTTTCAGCGTCTAATGAGCTGATTAGATTTTGGGCAGAGTCGGAACATTTGGGGGGGTACTTTATAGGTGGTCATTTTTATATTTTATGGAATATATCTGTTATTTACGTTTGGAGAAGAAAATTCTTTAAATAAAAGTTACTTCTAATATTATTATCTATAATTTTTGTTCTATACAAAATTTTCCTAAAATGGTCCGTATTCGAGAAATTTGACAAAATGTAAAAAAAATATTTTTTTATAAAAATTGTTCAAGTTTGTAATATAATTCTCTATAATTTTTATTCTCTACATAATTTCTCTAAAATGGACCGTATTCGAGATATTTGAGAAAATGTGTAAATTTCGAATTTTTGAAAAAAACTCAAAAACGGATAAAGAAAAAAACATTAAATTTTAAACTTAAGGTTTATTTCGGCCTGAAGTGAAATGATTAGATTTTGGACAAAGTCGGAACATCTGGGGGGGTACTTTATGGGAGGCCGTTTTTATATTTTATGGAATATATCTGTTATTTATGTTTGGAGAGGAAAATTGTTCAAATAAAAGTTACTTCTAATATTATTATCTGTAATTTTTGTTTTATGTAAAAATTTCCTGAAATGGTCCGTATTCGAGAAATTTGACAAAATGTGCAAAATTCTGATTTTTATTATGAAAGTTTTTGAAATAAAAGTTGTTTGCGATATCGATCTCTATAATTTTTGTTTATACATGATTTTTTTAAAATGGACCGTAATGAAAAAATTGTAGAAAATTAAAATTTTTCAGTATTTTCGTTTTCCATGAATATCTATAGAAAAATGTTTCGAGGTAGATGTATGTGGACAATGTATATATTTAGTTTATCCTCTAAACATTTATATAACTAGATAGGAAAGTCATGTGTTGGACACATCAGATTTTTTTTCTGGTAATACACATATGAAGTCTAAACGTTGCATTGGTACCATATTCTAAGATAACACGCTGCGAATTCACCAATAATGTGAAAAGTGTAACCCACCCCCAAGAAAACTGGGAAGCCATGGCTTCAAAGATGGCTAACAGGTGAAGTTTCGCCACCAGGTGGCATTACTACAACGTGCGGTCGGTATTAAATGTATTGTTTTTATATTTTGTCGTATTTTAAGTATAATTGAAAAAATAATAATTAAAATATCTTTTAGGTAATGGATAAATAGGGACCAATCGAAATAAATAACTCCAAAGAATGAATCCTAAAGTTATTGGAATTAAATAAAAACTCTTTAAAAGATAAATATACATTTTATAAATGATTTATATGCGCTAATTTATGTTAAAATTTTATTAATTTGTAGGACTAATCTGTAATACCTACACCGAATAAGATATGTTATGTTGATATTGAAAAGTGTACTGGAAACTGGAAGTCGAACGAAATATGTAGAAGAAATACAGGGCTGTAATAATAATAATTGGCATTATTAGTAGTAAAATATAAAGAATTAGGTATGGAAAAATTTTAAAAAGTATTAATTATATTAAATATTCAAATAGAAAAGACACGTATTGAACCAAATTCCAAACAATAAGATTGTTATTACTACAGTTTCATTGAAAGAGTTATTCAAATGGAATACATGATATACTTAAAAATAATATTGAAACTGTCATGTAAATTCTGATTTAAATAAAAAGTCAATAGTCGACAAACAGATTTGAAGGGCTGCTGCCCGAAACTCTTGCCGAAAAGGCATGCTCTAGTCACAGAAGTATACTTCTGTGCTCTAGTGGAGACTGTTCCTTCTTGACCCTATGCCCGAAGCACCTTAATGTGTGAAGTTAAGTTTTGTGCAGCGATTTATGTACCAGAAATAAATTATGTTTAATTAGTTTTTACATGTTGTTTTAAAAGTGTTGTTTGGTTTTGTTTTATTTATTTTCCTTTAAATGCCAATTTTTATATTTTTTGTCCAAAAATTTGAAATTCTCACAGAACGCCATTATCATAAGATTAGTTTGGGGTTCCTTTATGTTTTTTCTAATAACATGATTTATTTACTTAATTTATAATTACTTATAACTTGGTTTTCTTGTTTTTCTCTGAAAATATCGATTTTCATTATTGTAAATTTTTATTATTACATTATCAAGTAGTTAAAAAAGAAATTTTTTTCTACGTTTTACAAAAATGCATCCATTCGGATACAGGATACTTTTAGCGAAAACTTGATTTCCTTCACAAGTGAGAAAAAATTGCATAACTTTAACGTTCGTCTCTAGTGACGAAACTCCCATATCATCCTCCTCGTACATAATATTTTGGCAGCTTATAATTATTAATAAAATAAAAGGATACTCATTAAAATCTAAATGCGGTTACTTCAGTTTTATTGAATTAAGAAGAAAAGAAAATTGTAAAAATAATGTAAAATTTAAATCACTGCACATTTAATAATCAGTCAGTTATTTATTTGAAGTTCTAACGTACATTACTCAAAACTGTCAGTGTCAATTGTTAAATATTTATCTATTGGTTAAGATTTTTTGTTGCTTTTAATACAAACTAAAGCATTTATTTGTTAAAGTTTCATTTTTCTTTTTCATTTTAATAAATTGTTCGTAGAAAAAATATTGGGTTTTATTTCTCGAAAATCATTTTTTGAAGCTTTGTCTCGGTTGATAAATTGTTCTCTTGCTTTATAAAATGTTATTTTCACCAATCGTAAAACAACGCTATATTTATTTATGCGTCAAAATTATTTTTGTCGTAATTGAAGAATTAATTTATTTTATTAATAATCAGCAAAATACATTTTCTAATAGATTTTAAGTGTAAACTACATCACAGTATCTATATCTGCCTACAAAAAACCATCTTATAATTCTCGTAAACAACTTACTACCGAATTGCGGTCCCGAAGAACGAGCCAAAGCCAAAGAGGTTCGAACTCCAACACCTATACGACACCCCTGGTCCCTCTACCTCCTTGGTCTACAAGAAAATTTCACACTTCCTCGTATCCAAAGCTACGGAGGTCCACCCAACATCCCAGCATGCCATAACAATAGAAGATCGTCCAGTCCCCACCCCTCTAGCGGAGGTTGTAGCGCGGCGTTGTCAAGTCTTGACACTTTAAAGTATTTATTGATAAAATAATTCGTATGAATATTTTTTTAATAATTTTATTTTATTTTTATTTGGATTTGAATGGAAAACTACGTAAAATGTTGTTAAATTGGAAAAGGGATTTTGCATGTAATCTTAAAGTTAATTGTGTTTAATGAATCAGAACAAATTATAGGTAAGTAGGTATAATCTCATAAAATTTTCTTTGAACTTTTTTAGGCTGTCGGTTCCTGTTCATGTTTTTTTATTTTTCTATATCACTGCATGATATTCTTACAATGTACACATGGAATTTATTTTGATGTAATAGTTTAAATATATGAATCTTGTGTACCAACAGGAAATGAGTATTAAAAATTCTTAAATCGGTAATAAAATTTAGCAAATAATGTTTTTCTTATTTTTGTAGAATTCTAGCGCTCCCTTACATACAAACCTAAAATATTGTTCTAATAGTCTGAGTTATACAACAGAATTAAATCAAGTATAAAATATATTAGAAAACTGCTTTACAAAATTTTATTTCAAGTTTAATATGGTTTATTATAGTATAATTTTATTTTCAGAACATTTTCTATCATTTAAGTCAATTTTTATCTGTTAATAAAATATAAAATCTAAAATGTATGGTCATCGTATTATCATTACACTTGTATCCCCCTTAAACCGATTGAAAGAAGTGCTTACTAAATAGGTATTAGAATTTATTTACATCTAAGCTATCCTTACTAATTTAAAATAATTTCTTTCATTACATTTTATGTAACATTCTGCCTTTGTCACCTAATATGCTTATAAGTATGACTCCCTCTACTCATATTTATATAAAAGCAGACTTATATTTTAAACTTAAACAAACATCTGTGCATGAAATTATATTTTCTATTTTTGCGAAAATTTACTGATAAATCTGAAGGTTTGGCAACGCCGGCTGTTCGGACTCTGTCGCCGCTCGTCTGTTTTTTCACAGCCCGCTTGATATAACAACCTGTAATCTGCTTACGGGCGGGCAGTACTCAAAAAGTTGCATGTGTGGAGGTTTGAAACTACGAAGCTGGTTTGTTTTTGTCGACCAACGTATTCTCGGCGGGTCGATTTCGCTTTACGCGCTGGACAAATGAATGACGACAACGTGCAAATCATATGTCGCCTACTCGATGTCGGATAGTATTTTGTTTTGAAAAAAGTGGCGCACTTGTTTAATATTTAATGACTGTGAAGATTCGAAATACCTATGAAGATGTGTACAAATTATTCGTGTATCTGTGATATTTAATATTAAAGTGACATTACTTAATTATTTATTTTTGTTTGTGATATTAAATTGTAAAAATGATGATGCAGCCTACTAAGAGAAATGGCAAAAGAAGAGTTAAAAAAACAAATGGTATGTCACAGTTTTTGATAATTCTATAGCAAATTAAAAAGTATTTTTGTTTACTTCATAATAAGTAATTTGATTAAACTACGGACAACGCCAATGACTCGTTATATTTTTTCATTTTTAAAAAAATAAAATTACTCTATATTGACATTATTATGACATGACTCAATTGACTCAATATGTTTTTTACTTCTTAGGTACTTAGAATAACTAAATAAAATGACCGTGTATTTGTATCCAATAAATAAAATATGTAAACAACGTATACAATAATACGTACTGTGCGGTCCATATGTATGAAATAAACCAATTTTTAGCGTTATTATATACTTTTTGGAAAAACCCTGAAACAAGTCGATTTCTTTTCTTAATTTGACAATTTTTAGTATGAAAATATTACCCTCCTCTTGCACCCCCTCTGAAATATGAGTAGCCTCGGGAACATAATTTAAAAAACATATTGCTAAAGAGATAATTAAAATCCCATTCAAACAAGATGCCACACGATCCCTTTTTTTATTTAAAATATCCGGGGGTGTTCATAATTTAGAGGGAGTGCGCGAAGGGGGTAATATTTTCGTATTATAACTTATTTATTTTGTCAAATTAAGAATAGAAATCGACCTGTTTCAAGTCTTTTCCAAAATACAGAATAACAACTCTAAAAATGAATGTATTCCATACACATGGACCGCACTAACATACAATATACTTACATGTTTTGAAAATATGTAAACTTCAAAAACAAAATTGGAACTAAAATTTGGAACAAAATAGTAAACAAAAATTGATTGTAGGTTTAACATAGATAATCGGTAATTTAAATTTGTAATTAATTATTTAAACAATACAGTACCTAGGAGGGTAATCTGAAATGTAAGGAAAATTACCGAATAGTTGAGTTGTTGTTAATATTGCTGTTTTGAAAAACAAAAACCCAAATCCGAGCCCAAATCATTAAAATGAAAAGACTGCTTAGGTTTAGACTAAACAGACAAAAATAAGTTGCTGTTGTGTTTTTGTTTTCTATCATTTTAAATCAGAGAAACAGTTGTAGTTTGGTTTTTCAGTTCTGTCAACTACTTGTTAAATTCTTATTACAACCGTCCGACTCTGAATGTTAACAGAAACTAAAAAAAAAACACAACTCAGTGTTTACACACTAAGCCAACTAAGTTGCAATACACGTAGCAACTCTTTGAAAGTGTACCGCTTTATTCGGGAAAAGAAAAACACAACAGCAACTGTTGGAAAACTAGGAGTAGCAAAAAGTTGCGGTTTTGTTTTATTTCCAACTTGAGTTGCCGTTTTGTCGGTTTGGTGTAAAACCGCCTATAGAGCGTACCATTTACCTATTTATGTTATCCACTGCTATCATAATATTATTACTCGTGGAATAAAAATATCGAAAAGTATGTTTTAATAAATGAGAAAATTATTCAATAATTTTGTCCACGAACATAGATTATATCGTTAATTTAACAGTAACGGAAAATTTAAAACTAACTTAAACATAAATTACTTTAAATAATACACCAGCTGATAGGTAGGCACTTAGGTATATTTTGTTATACATAGATAAATTTGGATATAAATAATTCCTTTCTCAAGCAGCATTAGGTACCTACCTAATAATGGATAAAAAAAGCCTCAATTGCAATAGTGAAAATCGTTTTACGCCAAGTACATACCTAACAGTACATAGGTACTTATAAGCACAAATTAGTTTTAATTAAACATAAATAACATGCTTTGTTATTTAATATTATTAAACGTGGCACAATATGATAGTTTCCTAGAAACCGATAACATTACTTTTTATTTAAACCATAAAATTTAGTTTATAATTAACAATTAACTTAGATACTATATGTCCATATGGTTAGGACCATAGTAAGACTTTTTAATCATGATGCTAATAAGAAGGCAGAATGGTACTTACTGTAAATAGAAATAGCGGACGTCCGCAATAGATCTCAAAATATCTAAAATATGCCCGTTAAGGATTGTTCGAAAGCCCTAACGGAGTTGGGTAGTCGAATTAGATTAACCCTATGCTGGGTTATACTTATATGACATAAGGTCAATGAAGCCCGAGAGCAAGTCTCATAGGTCCAGAACCCTTCTGCGGTGTCACGGTGACATTTCTCAGACCATACAGATAGCAGCAGTGTATGATGACACATATTATGTGGAATGGTGGAATATAACTCACCTGGACAGAGACAGTCAAGAATAGCGTAATTTACAGGACATCGTAGACTTAACAAACATGCAAACCATTATTGGTCTGACAGAATAAACTTTCGATTCAGTAAGAACAAGAAAGTATATCGTGACAGAGATTAGAAATGAGAACCCAGAACAAATGCCTAGATAAGCAAAGAGGAACAACTTCCTAGAATACTTTGAAGTTATTTTTTAAATAATTCGCTTTTGGGGGTAGACAAACGAAACTTATGATTGGACAGACGTGGACAAATGAATGCCACTTTGAAATTAATAAAAACTATTTTCAGGCGACTTTCATAAAAACATGACGTTTTACCGATACGGATTAACATCCCTAATAGTATATTACGTACCAAGAGTTGTAAGTAACCCATTACGCACGAAGCCGCGCAGCGGCGAGTGTGTAAATTTCACGAGTGCGTAATGGGCTGACAACTCGTGTAACGTATTATACTTTTTCTACGCCCACTTAAAACATTCTCAAATCCATAACTTTTCGATAAGTAATTTCGTACCTTTGGATTTTAGCGGTAACAAATTATGTGTGGCAGCTTGAGCTTTTTCTAAAATCTCCGGTGGAGTGCTTATAATCACTTTCACTGATAACAAACATATTCCTAGGTAAAGTTGAGAAAATGTTCGGATACAATCATATTTTGTTACAAAAATTGACAATATAAATGGCATGACGTTTATTTCCATAGCTTGCTAAGAAAACGCAACATATTTTCTGAAAATATGTAAAGTAATTAAAGTTTTCTTATCAAAACACACGTTTATGTTATGAGATCTCATTACGTGCATGTTATTGTTAAATGTAATTTACATGTTGATAGTGCGATTTTTAACGTTTACTGACATGGGCGTAGAAAAAAGTTTTTGTTTTTATGAAAATAGACCAAATTAAGTAGCACGTAGACAAAAATTTGATTGCAATTTGATTAAACCAATAAATTTAAGTTTTCTTATCAAAATGCACGTGTATGTTATGAGTACTCATTACGTGCATGTTATTGTTAAATGTCATTTACAAGAAATGTTGATAGTGCGATTTTTAACGTTTACTGACATGAGCGTAGAAAAAGTATTTTTTATAAAAACAAGTTCTGCTTATTATACTTATTGTTAGTAATTCTGAAAAAAATAGGGTTTTTATTCGATAAATAAAAATTCTTTCATTTAAGCCTATTTTCAGAACAAGAATGTAAAAAACGCAGCGTAGTGACGCGGCAGCAACCGCCCCACCTACACCCACTCGAAAACGGTGGCAATTAAAATTTTAAACAATAGTTTAAAATCCAAAATTTTATTATGTACATGACTATCCACTTAAGCTAGATCCCAGACAAAACAAAAATTATACTTTTCCTAAAATTTCTCCAAAAATTCTAGATGGAAAACTTTATTAGACAAATTTTCTTCTCCAAATATAAATATTAGAAATATACCAAAAGTATAAAAAAAGTTTCTCTGACTGTACTCAAAAATGTAATCAGCTCTTCAGGGGCCCCTGGAAAACCTATTTTCCAAATCCCATAGAAATCAGCCGGGTAATTTGGGCTGTATCGTGCTAACAAAAAACGTCACACACACGTATATTCGGACATTATTTACAAACATGTTTTTTGGGGTTCCTAGGACCCCAAAACGTAAAAACCAGGTTTTACCTCAAATTAAAATTTGAGTGTTTGCAATAACCTCCCCATTTTCATGGAGCCTACGCCACTGCTACTAACAGCTCTTTTAATATACACTGTGGAACAGCCAAATGGAATAAATTCGGTAATAAATAAATGGGGCATGTTCGGAAAAACGCTCGGACACGTCGATTGGTATTTTTAGTTGCGCATTTTTTTTAACAAAAACTTTTTATACAGGGTGTGTCCTGTAACAGTGGCCAATACCAAATTTCTTATTCTAAATAAAACACCCTATATATTTTTCAATTTTTGGATATTTCAGAAAATTCAAGATATGTATGTACTATGTCCTATACCTAACTATTTCAGAAATATTAAATATTTTTCCATTTATTTCAAAAATTAACATTAACAAAATAAAGTTGCTTGATCACAGAAATTCGCTGCAACACACTCAAAAACTAATAAGTAAAACGGTTTTATTTCTTGATAATGTAACAAACATCTCAATGTAGGAGATGTTCAAAATGCTCGCAGCGAACCTCTTGGCAACATCCTAATCTGCAATAAGAATGTCTTTTAACGTTACTCAACATCTCAGGGTAGCTATTCTTGAATTCGAGGGAATAGAAAACCGGTTTTGCCTCTTTATCTGCAACGCGCAAAATTTGTATTTTTGTCTTATTCTTCCCTCAAAATTTCTAGTCCCTGATATTCAAGAATAGATACCCAGGAGTGATCTAATCGTAAGCGTTATTCGTCTTCTTAAGTCAGCTAGGTTTTAATATTTCCAAAACAGTAAAGTAAAGGACATAGTACACAAAAAGGTGTCTAGAATTTTCTGAAGAATCTTTTCACCTCTGAGTAAAGTTTAAAGTAACTACTTGCTGATTAAACTATAGGGCTATTGTTTTTAATCTGTCAAGTAAACTTACATATAACTTTACTCACAGGTGAAAAAATCGACCCTTAGCCACAACATTTAGCTGTGGCACTTGACAAACTTTTTTTTCTATTATTTGTGTTAGTTGTTTTTTCAGGAAATGTATGATAGTGCGTACACCTAAGAGGTGGGCGAAGTTATAAAATTTGCCCCTGTCAGCATCTCATTCTTTTCGTAGGTACACCAAT